GCTGGCCGGGCGGACCGCGTATCCCTCCGTGGATCGTCGGCCCCGTTTCGGAGGCGGTGGTGATGTCTCCGCGAGCCAGATGGCCTTGCGTCGTTGGGCCGCATCGGAGCGCTGGATCGTGGTGCCAACTCTCGGCACGGTTTTCCTGGCCGGAGCGCTCTGGTGAACCGGTGGCTCGGTCTCGATGTCGGAATCTGGTCCGAAGAGGTCGAGGTATAACTCGTCGATTCCCGGCCGCGTCGGATCGTATGGCGGCGGCGGGCGTTCCTCTAGTATCGCGTCGATTTCCTCGACAATGCTTACACGTCTTGCCATTGTGGTAGCTCGTCGTGATCTGAGGATCGGATCGTTCCTCGTTGCCGGTGGTCGCGTCGCTGGCGGTCGCGTGTTTTCCCCTAATTGGTCTAATTTTCAGCCGTTATTTATTTTTAATCCGGCTTGAAATTTTTCCGCGGTCGTCCGGGGCCTCGTTGTTGTGTTTTGTTGTCGACATCCCGCGGTTTGCCCCTTCTTTTTGTTGCGATTGCCGGGGGCTCGTCGTTGGTGGTGACGATCGGCGTCGGTCGGTCGGTTGTCGGCATCGGTCGGTTCGTTGTCGGCGTCGTCGTTCGCTATTTCGGCGGCGCTGTCGGCTTCGGTCTTGCCGGGCGACAGTTTTAAATCCTGGAGGTGAACGTGTCGATGCCATTTCCCACGTTTACTCCGTAAATCGTAGATTACGGGGGAAATGGCTGCCTTCACCTCCAGGGGCCCGATGTATCGGGGCGCGAGTTTCGCGTTAAACGCATCGCTCTTGCTGGAGAGGGGGTGATCGCGCTTCCACACCCACTCTCCGAGCTTTGGTTGCCAGTCCCGTCGCCTTAAGTCATAATTTCGTGCCTGTTGCTGGAAGGCTCGCGCTAGGTTGACGCGGACGAGCTCATACGCGTCTTCGAGTCTTTGTCTTAAGGCGTCGGGTTTGCTGGGACCGACGGTGGCTTCGTTACTTCTTACAACCGAGCATGGCTCCCGACCGAGATTCAGGTAGGCCGGCGAGTACCCGGTGGCGTCGTTTGATGCAGTGTTGAAAGCGAACTGCAGTTCGGGCAATGTTTCATCCCACGTTTTTTGGTTTCGCCCCACATATTGCGCGATCATAGTTTTTACG